TGTAGAGTCTGAAGTAATCCTTGATTTAGCTCTTCTCAGTAGATCCTGTCATCTCTATTTTAAAAATATGCTAATGAAAAGATGCTCACTTTGCCCCATTTGCAGTACTTTCAAACAACCACATCTTGACTGGATTTCTGTGATTGACTCTGAATTTGTCTCTCCACTTTTGCTCTTGCTTTCGTTCTATTCTCATATGGCCTCCAGAGTGATCCTATTCTGAACTAAGTCAGATGATAGTCCTCAGCTCAAATCCTCCAGTGGATTTTCATCTTATCCAGAGTATGACTCAATGCCCCTTAATCAGTGACTACCCTTTTACTCCTTCTTCTTCAGCCATATTTGACTACTTCATTGAACAGGGCCTTTGCATATACTATTCCCTCTGCCTGGAGTTCTCTTTCCTTAGGTATATGTATGGCCTGCTTCCTTTTCTCTTGTAAGTCTTTACTCAAATTACCCTCTCAGTAAGACTTTCTGTGGCTAATTATCTAAACTTAGTACCCATATATTCCTTTCATACTTTGTCTCTGTAGTATTTAACATACATGTTCTTTGTTTATTTTTACTGCTACTGTCTCTCTCCATGAGGCACATATATATTTGCCTGTGCATCCTTTCTACTTAAAGAAGTCCCTGGCACACAGTAAAAATTAGCTGAATAACTGAAAACTTACCATAAGAAATAAGGACTACTGAGAGCATTAGTCAATGTCTATGACCCTAAGATCTAAAGGTTCAGCATATGTTATGGATTTTCATCACGGTGTGTCTTTGGCTTTATTTCCTAAAAAACAGATATGACTTTTCTTATCTTTAAAACGTGAAACTTCAGAGATGAGTACTTAAAAAGGAAGAAGACAATGATAAATATAGATGGGTATTAAATAATGTCTATTGTTTGCCATGTCACATGAGCTAATGACTTTTAAAAATTATTACTACACAGAGCTTACTATTTATAGCAGACTGAAATTAGAAATGAAAACGTTGCTCACTGATTGAATTAACAGTGTCTGGCACACAGTAATGTAATATATAAAGAAAGCAAGACTTGGATGACATCCAAATGGGCTTAGTTATTTAAGAAGTTTTATTTCTAAAGTGATTTTACAGTATAGGCATGGTGTCCAGGTTGGTCACAGTTAAATTCAGAAATAAAATAAGAATGAAGATACTACTTTCAGACCTGAGAACTATAAATCCTTAGCTGTTCTTATCAACAAATAAGATAAACAATAAAATGGATAGACTACAAATTTCCAAATGAGCTGTACACGAAAAGGGCAGTATTACTAGCCAGAGTTAGAGGTAGAATGACAAAATGGAAAAAGAACGATGGGGAGACCTGGGTTCCAGCCTTCATTATGCCACTGACTGGTTGTGTGACTTGCTAAGAGCCACTGAAGCTCTCTTAGGCACCTTACCTATACAATGTGAGGACAGGCGGGCTGGTAGGATTCAGAGGTTTCTTGAGAAGTATAAACTTTTTGACTTTGGGGCCGGGGATTTAGCTCAGCGGTTCGGTGGCCTGCCTCACAAGCACAAGGACCTGAGTTCAATCCCCGGTACCACAAAACAAACAAACAAACAACCCCCCCCAAAACCTTTTTGACTTCAAGTTAAATCATCATGGCAGGGAGAATATGTTCCCATTCAAAAAGATGTTCACATCCTAATCTTGGTATTGAAATATGCTGTTCTATAGCAAAGGGAAATTAAGGTTGCTAATAAGCTACTATAAAGTAGGTAAAAATGAGTTGTATATTTTTAAAGGATTGTTAAAAAAAATTATCTAGACCATACATGACCTAGAAAGCCTATAATATTCACTGTGTGGTCTTTTGTAGAAGTTTCCTGACACCTGTTCTGGAAAAGATGCATAGGCCTCTTTACCAAATGTATATAACTAAATTAAACTTTATGTTTTGTCATTAACGGAAGCATGTGCATCTTGCCAAAACACCTGACAAGGTAGCAGTTCTTTTTTTTTTTTGGATTAGGGTAGGTAAGATATTTTTATTAAAAATTTCAGGATCTAAAAAGTAACATTACATTGACTAAGAGAAATCTGAGATGACCCCTTATCAAGCTTGTGGGCCCTGCAGTCACTTTGCCCCTCAGGCGTGAAAGGACACAGTTCCATCTCTCCTGAGGGATGGGATCAGCTATGCTGCCCCTCAACCACACAGTGGTCTGGGCCCCTCCAGCTTCTTGCCCTGGCACCTGGTTTATGAAGAGTTCAGGTGAAGAGGCCTCCATTCCTGTACGGGTAAGGCCAAACTAGAACCTCATGGTAGCCTCAGACTTGAAGTTTAAGGTTTTTATTCTCACTTTAGATTTCAGTGATATTTGGGACTGATAAAATACTTATCATTTTATTTCAGTGATAGCACAGTTAATATGTCCAATAGCGCTCTAAGTCTGAGGATGACAATCCTCACTTACCACATAGCAAGAAACCCATAGAGCTGGACGACCAGTCCTGGAACAGGCCAGATACTGGAATATCCCGACCCAGGTCCAGACAGCAGCTCATGACCCCTGACTTACTGGCAAATCAGTCACTACAGGTAAGAGGGGTAACTATGACAAAGGGTTTGGAGGCCCTGCAGGTCAGTGAGGTTACCCCCTGCCTCTAAAGACAGACGTTTCTGCAGCCAGTAATTTACAGGTTAGGAAACCCTGGCATGGTTTTTATCTGTGTTCAAGATTCATAAAGGCAGCATCTCTGCAAAGTAGAGCTGTAGGAAGCCTCAGGGGCTCATGGGGCATGGCAGAAGCATGGGGCAGGTGAGCCCTCTCCCATGGATCAGAAGGGAATTTGGGGAGCAGCACAGTGCCATAGCTGAGGGGTGGTACAACACAGGGACAGTGCCCTTACACTACAGGATGGTGGGGGAAGAGGAGGCAAAAGACGAGAAGCTGCAGAACACAGGCCATTCATCAGGACAACCAAACTCCACAGCTAAGTCTGGGACTTTCTAGCTCAGGTTTCCTGAGAGTAACCCTCTCCCTCTAAAGCAGTAGGCCTTTACAGGGATGATTTTGCCCACAGGGGATCAGGGATCTCCTTTCTCCACGTGCACAATATCAGAGTTGGAAGAGTTGTTTTCACTCTTCTCTCCAGCTCCATTACTATCCAAGCTTTTGACTTCTTCAGGATCCATTGCAATCTGCTGCCAGGACTCAGGGCCTAGGGACACTAGGAGGCTTTCTGTATGCCAGCTCTGGCTTGCTGACATTGAGATAGGCAGGCTCTCTGACTGCCAAACAGTTGTTATGGTTGGAGACCCTGGGAGGCTGACTTGTCCAGAGTTGTCACTGGGCAGGATGTAAATGTCATTACTGTCTTCTGCAGCAATGCCAGGATACTCCTCCTCCTCAGACTTAAGACTGAAGACAGTACCCCAGCCACCTTGTTGATGTACTCTGCTGCATGGGTACATGTAAATACGTCACACCACACATCACTGCAAGCTGCGCTTGCAGCTTCTCCTGAGAGTGGAGTCCCAAGTAACTGAGAATAACATACTTTGCTTCATAGTGAAATCCTAGAGGTACTGTAGTAGAAAACGCCATTGATTTGGCTGGCAGAGTCCCCAAGAGGTCTACTTATAGATGTGTCAGATCTGGCCCTGGCCCCTGCCCCAGAAGAGATGAAAGAGGCGGTGGCAGTTGCTTCCAATAGGGTCCCCCAGCAGCTGTGGCTGCTTTGATTCATGGCTCTAATTTACCACCTCCGCCATGTTGAAGGGTGAGGTCACCCCCCGACATGCTTCCGTCACTACTGACCCAGTTCCAGTATTTGTGGAAAAATAAAGGCCAGTGGTATTAATTTTTTTTTTCTGTTGCTATACACTCTCCTACTCTGTCATAGGTTTTTGTCAATGCCTGTCTCATCAGTCTTTCCTCTGTTTTACATTTCATCTTTTTAATCTTGGTTTGGAATTTTGATACAAGTCAGTGGAGTAACTTACTTTGTTCTAAAGCCTTTTTTATTCCCCCCAGGGTTTCTGTTATCCTTTGGGAAAACTAAGTTTAGGGATAGACAAGTTCAAGTTCTTGTTGCAGTATACCTAAACTAAAAAACAAAAAAAAAAAAAAAAAAAAAAAAAAAAAACTAAAAAAGAAAAAAAAAAAGTAAAATAGCATTATACCTCCAAAGCTGTTCACTAATATTTTAAAATGAAACAATTTGAAGCCAGGCGTGATGGTGCACGCCTGTAATCCCAGCACTCGGGAGGCTGAGGCAGGAGGATTGCTTTGAGTTCGAGACCAGCCCGGGCTACATAGGAAGTTCCAGATCAGTCTCAACTACATAGTTAGACCCTGTCTCAAAAAAAAAAAAAAAAAAAATCTGAATGGTAAGATTATTTTGAATGTCAGATTTCTTTCTACAGTGAAAGTTACTTTTACGTTCAGAAAGCCATTTCCATAAAAAAGTCACGAGGCTCTTTTAATCTCACTGACCTAACTCAACTATTTTCACGTAGTATATTTCCTATCGCTATTTGATCATAATTTTTTAGCGTTTGTGGATTTTTGTTAACTTACACTGGGGTTGCCATAAGTTACAGAATAATATTGAAAAATAAATTGGAACGGTAAAATACCACAGGAAAGCCAATCAATACGGTGAAAGATAAGTGATGGTGCTTTTGACCCTCTGCTCAATTCATTATTTTATACAACCAGCTAAGATGAACAATGCGTAATTCGCAGGGTTTCGGTTGACAAAACACTTGAGTTCTCACAATAACTATTTGCGTAGGCAAAATGACGTAGTCACCAGTTCAGTCCTAGAGGAATAGGCACAAGTTCTGAGAAACGTTCCCTCTACTGTGGAAATTTTCCCATTTTCCCATTTTTCAAATTTTGCCTTTGCCACGTGAGAGGCGGGCTGCGGGCTGGAGACCCTTGCAGCTGTTGGGTCCCCCCTGTTGCAGCACCGGGCACTGCCCTCGAGCGCGGACCCTGCCTACCCGCCCCGAACTAACCTGACCAGGTCTGTCATGCAGGAACCCACCACTACCACCGCGGCCTCCTCCTCTGGACACTGCTTCCCGGGCTCCCCAGAAGCTGCCATGGTTAAACGGGGAAGCAGACCAGCTCGAACGCTGACCTTTGACCTTTGCCCTTTGCCCGAACCCGTACCCAGAGACGCCGCTCCCACCCGCCCTGACGACACGGGGCTTTCACAGGCCTACGCGGGTCGCCCGCCCGAATGCCCGAAATAACCCGGTCCAACAGCTGCCCTGCTGCGTCCAAG